TTATATTATCTCTTAACATCAGGGATTCTGAGTCCCAAACAGGACCACAGAAAAAGGCCAGGTTCCAGCAGTGGTTATGGAGACAAGGAAATTGGCCCTGGATATTGTCCAATAGGGAATAGGTCTAAATCAACATCCTTCTACCTAGGAAAGTCCTTGGGGCTCTGGACCCCTAGGTTCTGTTTCCTTTCTGGGCATTCTAGCTGTGGATCACCTCTCCAGGGTCTGAGATCAGTCCCACTTATTAGGGGCCCTAACACCAGCTCAGATATGTACTCATGAAAAACTAGTTTCTATGCTATTCAGGCTGTATGTAATTTATGAGACTTGTTTTCTTCAATCCCAGAGGAATTATTTCAAGTACTCTGTCCATTGTCTCCTCTGGCCCAGTTCAGGTTCTCCACCTTCCAAAGCATCCTCAGTACCAGGCAGCCAGCAGAGAGGTGCAGCATCCCTGAAAGATTTTCAGATGCTCCTGACTCCTTAACCAGGCCCTGGGACTTTGGTGGAAGTCACCAGCTGGACAAATCCAATGGGGACTCAGTTCTGAAATTCATACTCCGGTTTGTAGCCACCAGTAACGAAAGGGCATGTGGGAGCCACACAGAAGGTGCTGGTAGAATGTAAAATGGAGCTAGTGCTTTGGAAAAGTTGTTCTGGACTGTCTTTTAAAAACAAGACACAGGGCCAGTGAGATGACTAGGCAGGTGGAGGTGCTTGCTGCTGAATCTGACCACGTGAGCTCAGTCCCCATGTGGTGGGAGGAAATAACTGATTCTATTCATTTGGGCCCAGCGACACATGCGCATGCTCACACATAGACACACAGATAGATAAATAAATAAATGTAATAAAAATTTAAAAGGCGGGTAAAATGGATCAGAGGGTAAATACAGGTGCCCTCCACCAAGCCTGAGTTCAATCCCCAGCACGCACATGATGGAAGAGAGGACACTCACAAGTTGTCCTCTGACCTGAGTTCTGTCATACCTCCCCTCACTCTGTATAAATAAATAAATGTAATATCTTTAAGTTTAAAAGAAGAGCCGGATCTGGTGGCATACACCTTTAGTCCCAGCACTTGGGAGGCAGGTAGCTCTCTGAGAGTTCAAAGCTAGCCTGGTCTAGATACTGAGTTCCAGTACAGCCAGGATTATGTAGAGAGACTCTGTCTCAAAAAAATTTTTAAAAAGAAAAAAGCATAAATCTATTATCTGGTGGGGCCTTCCATACCCAAGTATTTATCCAAGAGAACTACAAGGTTGTTTTTACATAGACGCTTGTACAGAAACATTCACAGCAACTGTATTTGTAACAGTCCCAAGCTGGGAACTATCCAAATCTCCATCAACAGGTGAAAAGGTCAATAAATTGTGATATAACCCAGAGACAGAAATAATAGTTAGCAAGAGGCTGGGATTACCTGTGACTATGCACAACAAGATGCTGAATGAAAGAACAAATAAAAGTAATACATATTAGATGCTCTTATTTATTGAAAAAAAATATCAGAAAATACAAACTTGGACTGTCAAGATGGCTTGGCTAACACTGCCTGCTGTGGAGTCCTGATGACCTGAGCTCCGTTCCTGAGGCCACAGGGTAGAGGTGAGAGCTGACTTGCTGAGGTTATCCTCTCTCTGACTTCTTCAAGCATGCTGTGGCGTGCACCCCTCACCCCTGAATGCACACACCACACAGAGCGCGGCAGACGAGTGACCACCAGGAGACAGGAGGGATGGAAGGGAGAGTGTACAAAGGTCAGGAGGAAACTTTTGGGGGTGATGGATGTGGTCATCTCTGTCTTGGTGTTGGTTTCACGGGTGTGTTCATAGGTGAAGCCATCAGAATGTACATCTTCTGTACTATATATACTTGTGTGTGTGTGTCATATATAAATTGTACCGATAAAGGGGAGAAAGAAGAGGCTGTGTTTGTTCAAGACACAGACACTGCTCAACGTACTCTTCAAGGCTCTTGCTCTCCTGATAATCCATACATTAGCTATGTCTCCATGCATGGATCAAAATGACTGGTCTAGGCTTCTGCTTCATCAACCCAGAGAATTCCTATTCTTTTGCCAATGCTCCATTCAGTTTGTCAATGATCCAGGGAAGCCTTCTTGACTTAGGCAGATCACACTGTGTACGGTTCCTTTCTCTGTGGTCCACAGCCCCGGCACACAATTGGTTGTTAGCTGTCTGCCTGACCCAGTAGACTGTGGGGTCTTTGAGGCTAAGATCCACATGTGTGTCTGACAGTGTTGGGAGATTGTTGTAGAATATTATTTTAAGACCTGTTACATTTGTTTGATTAAATAAAATTAACCTGGAGTCAGGAGGTCGAGTCAGCAACCAGCTGACAGGAAGTGGTAGGGAGGAATCATGTGTAGCTAGGGATCTTAAGTGGGGGCTGAGCAGAAGGATGCCCTGTTTCGGGGGAGATGCGAGCTAGGAGAGAAGGTTAGCTACTTGCTATTCAGCCTCTCTGAATGAGCAGAATTTCACCTAAAAAATGTAGTTGGTTGTTTTTACTCTTTTACTCTTTGGGGGGGCCTGGTACCCAGCTCCCAAATAAATCACACATGGAGACTTATTATTACTTATAAATGTTTGGCCTTAGCTTGGCTTACTTCTATCCAGCTTTTCTTAACTTAAATTATCCTATCTACCTTTTGCCTCCAGGTTTTTTCTTTTTCTTACTTCCGTATATCTTACTTTCATTCTTACTCCGTGGCTGGCTGGGTGGCTGGCCCCTAGCATCCTCCTCCTTCTGCTCTTTTTCTCCTTCCATTTATTCTCTCTGCCTGGCAGCCCCACCTATCTCTCTCCTGCCTTGCTATTGGCCATTCAGCTCTTTATTAGATCAATCAGGTGTTTCAGACAGGCAAAGTAACACGGCTTCACAGAGTTAAACAAATGCAACATAAAGAATGCAACACATCTTTGCATCATTAAACAAATATTCCACAGCATAAAAAAGGTAACACATCTTAAAATAATATTCCACAACAGGAGATGGTGTGGGTCCATATGGGGAGGGTGTGAGGGATTCAAAGGAAGGGCCAGGGAAAGCAGAAATCCCAGGTTTCAGGGAAGAATGGCCACATGGGTCACTGATGTGACTTAGTCAGCACTTTGGAGCATAGGATTTGGGTAGGGTGTGTCTACTTCCTCCTTATACAGGAAAATACAAAAAGAACTCTGTCCTAGGCAGAATGGAAAAGCTGGTTTTACCTCTCCTTTGGAGAGCCAGGAGGCCCAGGCCTCTGCCCCACAGATAATCGGCGGGTTCCAAACCATTGGCCAGTCTGTATCCTCTGGGTCTGCTGGAAACAGCGTGAGAAAGACTGAAGGTAGCAGCTCCAGGGGATGAAGGTGAGGCCCAGCTTCCCAGTGATTCCTGTATACACAGAAAGACCATGAAAAGTCATGTGAGCTCCCGATGTCTTTGGTGACCTCCCAGATAGTCCCGATCTTCTACCTGGGATCCTAGAGTCCTGAGTAGGTCTGGCCTCATGACTTTGCGGGAGCCTCCTTCCTATGCAGCCTACTATGTGGGTTTCCCATTCAGCTCTAAGCTTAGATGAATTGTTGAGAGTTAGATCCTGCAGGAACCCCCAATCAGCCTAGTCAAGGGCCAGTGCAAGGGCCAGGTTGAGAAGCCTGGAAAAATCAGTCTTCGGGGATTGAATCTGAGAAGAAAGATGCAATATCCAGAGACTTTGCTCTATAACCTTCTTGCTGGTAACTACACACACACACACACACACACACACACACACACACACGCACACGGTAGCTGGGGTCCTAAGTGTCCTCATCATGGCTGCACCTGCAGGAGGGACAACCAGAGCTGAGGGCACTTCCTGGGCAACAAGACAGAATCAGCAACAATCACATTACTTCCTGATGTCACCTACTGAAGGTCATTTTTGCAACACACTTTTTTTTTTCTGAACCAGAATGACACCCATAGAGACTTCTCACCTTGTTCTTCCTTAAGCAGAACCAACCATTGCTTAGTACTTATTTCCCACAAATAGGCTTCTTCAAGCTCAGCTTTTCTAGAAAGTACCCCATTGTACCTTCCTGGGAGATGGGCTCTTTAATGTCCTGCTGCCTTAACGTTTTTTAAGCTACAACCCCAAAGTAGAACCCTAGAAACTTACTCCTAAGCCCACGGACATTGGCTTAGGAAAGTCACAAAGTTACATACACTTGGACATTTTCCTCACAAGGGTCTACACTCCAGATATTGTCTTTCCTTAGTAAGCATATTTAGGGAATTTGTTGTGTGGAGTCCTGTCCTAGCTGCCCTCAGAAAACAGATGAATGTCCTACCAGACACTCACTGACAGCCTTGGTTGTGGAACCAGGCCTCAAAAGGGGCTCCAGGAACACAGAAAGTGAGGTCTCAGACCAGTTCTTAAGGACCCCATAACTTAATAGAGGCACAATTCTGAGTGCACTAATACACTGATGAAAAAATGTTCTAGAACAGCTATACTAGTCAAGAATAGCAATAATACTCTTTCTTTTCATTCACACCCGACTCCAAGAACAGCTAGCTTATGGCTGGTTCTGCTCAAAAGTGAGCAAGGTGAACAGCCCCTGTCAGTGTTGAAAGATGTGTTGCGTGGGGGCTGAGAATGTAACAGAATTGGATGGGCTGGTCTTTCTGTTGAGAGAGTCCAGGGTCAGGGCAGGCTTTGGTGAACAGGACCTCTGAACCTCCTCTTGGGTGATAAATAGATCTGCTTGGCTAGTGGAGGAAGAAAGAGCAGTCAAGGCCAAGGAGGCAACAGGGTAAATCTCAGAAAACATCTTGTGCTATGAGATCAGAAGTGCCTCCAATAAAGTCCAAGCCTCTGCTATGGAAACTCAAAGAATTCCAGAGAAATTCCAGATTTTAGACTATGACACAGGAATGATGGCCTCTTGGTGTCAGAATGTGTGCTGAAATTGGCACTCGCCTAATTCTCCTCCCTTTGTTCCTAGGGGGAATCTCTTTGAGACAGCTCATGCTAAAAGCTTTCGGTAATGGTTTCCTGTGAAGACACACCGAGTCCCCACTGGATAATTAGAATGGAGTGGAATCCTGTGAGAATGGTTGCAGTCTCCAAAGGCTATCACTGCCACAGCCCAGGGATGGGGCTCTTTAATTGGTACGTATGATCCACATCTGAATTTCATTTCCCATTTGGGAAAGAGGGCACTTTCAAAAATATTTTTTCAGCCTGGATGACTTTGTTCAAATAGTTGTCTGTTTTACAGACAGACACAAGTGAAGTGTTGAAAGTGCTGTGTTTGATTAGAAGGTGGCTTTGCTTAAGGATGCATGCTGTAAAGACATAGCATCATTTATTCTCCCGTCCTTTGTGCTGCTTGATGGCTAAATTCGATGGTTTGCACCCTGCTCCTTGCCCTACATGACTCTGGAATCTGGAAAGGCCTCCTTGCCTTGTACACATGGTGTGGACACACCCAGACTGTCTGGTAGATCTCATCTAGTGTAAGGAACTAAGATAAGGGCCAGAAATGACTAAGAAAAGGGTACAGAAATGACTAAACAAGGTCCAGGGAAAGACAAGACTCTCTAATCTACATCAAATGGGGATGAGGGGACAGGGGACAGCTATGTCATCTGACCCCGAGTTTTGTGAATTGCCACTGGGAAGAAAAATGCCATCCGTAGAAAGCAATGGCTGTGAGCTTGGGAACCCTCTGGTGTCCGGAGGAGCTGCAGTGTCCCTGGGCTGTAATGGAGGAGAGTGGGGAAGGGACAGACCTGACTCTATACTGTCTCAGGAACTCCCTTCTTACTCCAACTCTCCATGGTTTCGAGGGTCACCCTTGGTTGGGTAGGAAGCCAGCTCCTCTTGGAAGGGCCACTTCCCACTGGCTCTGGATCCAAAGTCCAGAGGTTTCCCCAGAGGCTCAGCTCACTCGCCCAGGCATCCTGAGCTACCTGCAGTCAAACCCTACCCTCATGAGCCCAACAGCAGCCCTTCCTGGAATGTTGTTGCTGAGACCATGGGTCCGCATACTCCCGAGACTCTTTCTGCTCCTAGCCCTGACACAAGTGGTCACATGCCTCCCCCATCACTGGCACACAGCTCAGTTTGGTTGAGTCAATGGACAGCACCCCCCCCCCCCCACACACACACACACCTCTAGGGTCAAACTTTGAGAAGGCGCCTCCATGGTCGGGGAGGATGAACAATAAAAGAAGAGCCTCAAGAGGAAGGCCTTGGAGTGGAAGGCTGGGAGGCCGCTGTGTCCCGAGGGTCCAGACCCAGTCTTAAGAGGCAAGAGAACGAGCATGTCAGGAAGCGCATTAGGCCCTTCATTTTCTCATCGGTTCTTTCAACCACGAGGAAGACAAGTGTAGGTCTAAAGGGGAAGAGGTTTATCCAAGTTCACAGCAAAAAATCTACCCGCTGCTGTTCAGGGACTGTATTTGTTGGGGGGTGGAGGGAAAGGAAGGAAGGAAGGTTGAAGGGAAGGAGGGAGGGAGAGAAGGAGGGAGGGAAAGGAAAAGAGAAAACAAAAATATAATTCCAAGGAATTCTAAGTAGGATTTTAAAAAATTACTTCTTAGTGCCTCTGTGTGTTCGTGTGTGTGTGTGTGTGTGTGTGTGTGTGTGTGTGTGTGTGTGTGTGTATGACAGAGAGAGAGAGAGAGCACTGAACCACGCTTCCAGCCCCCTGTGACTTTAGAATGTCACCCCCCCCCCCCCCCATTTCCCTGAATCTGCAGCTGCTCCTGACACAGCCCCAGCACTACTTCCCACTGGCCTGGCTGAGAACTGCCAGTCTCCCTATCCCGCCACCTCTTCCTCTGAGCCCCCCTCAATGGTGGACTTCCCGACACTCAGCTTATCTTTGGGACGAGTCGAGATCTGCATGTGGCCTTCTTGGGTATCTCTCCTGCCGAAGTCCCCTTGGCCTGCCAACCCTGTCTTGAGACCCACCGGTTCTTTCCTCTGCACCCTTCTGCCAGTGTCTAGATGAGAGGTGTTAATCTCACACCTGGGTCTTTGTAACCAGAACCTCCCCAACCCACCTCCAGTTCTTGCAGTCACCTGATTTGACTAATCATCCTTTGAGGCCATGGAGACCATGCTTCCTCCTACCCATCACTTCTGGAAAGCCTACAGTGAACAGAGAACACCAACAATATGCATTCATTGAATGCTTACCGAATACAGGAACATTTCCTCCTCCCAGCCGCCTCCTCCCAGAGTTATGATGAAGAAACTGAGGCGCTGAGAAATCAACTAACTTGCCCAAGTTTCCCAGCTATGAAAGCAACAAAACCAGGTCTACTTGTCTAACTCGGAGGTCATATCCATAAAGCTGGCTTTCAAGGATGATTATGAATTGGTTCCAAGGTACTGTCACAGGCTCATACTCCTTGCACCCCCACACACAGGCGATGCTGGCTGTTCACTATCCCCTGAAGGTGCACCGTACAACCCTAACCCCATGCCTCCGTCCATACACCCCTTCTCCCAAAACCCCTTCCTCCAGTTCCTGCACTCATGAAGTTTAATCCAGAATGTCTCCTCACCAGGAATGGTCTCCTTCCTTTAGTAATTATCCCAGACTTGCATTATTCTCCCACATAACTCATGTGTCACCTTTTCAGTTTGTTAGTTTGTTTTTGGAGACAAGATTTCTCTATGCAGCCCTGGCTGTCCTGGAACTCACTCTGTAGACCAGGCTGGCCTTGAACTCACGGAGATCTGCCTGGCTCTGCCTCCCAAGTGCTGGGATTAAAGGCGTGCGCCACCACCGCCAGGCTATGTGTCACCATTTCTAATGTTCACTAAGAGCTGAGACCAAGTCCAGTTTGCACTTAGCCCCTTGGAAGGGCCCTGCACTGAGCATGGCATACATGCTCACAGAACTGTTTTTGTTTTGTTTTGATTTTCAGTCCTAAGCCTTGCACATGCTTGGCATGCATCTTACTTATCACTGAGCTACTCAGTAGCTACTCGGCTACTGAGTCAATGTTTTTGGAAGTCTTTCTTTTTAAATATTTGTTTATTTACTTATTTATTATGTGTACGAGTGTTTTGCCTGCATGTATGTTATGTGTACCATGTGCATGTAGTGCCTGTAGAGACCAGAAGAGGGTGTCAGATTCCGCAGAACTTGAGTTACAGATGGTTGTGAGCTGCCATGTGGGTGTTGGGAGCTGAACCTGGGTCCTCAGAAAGAGCAGCAAGTGCTCGTAACTACTGGGCAATCTCTGCAGTCTCGTTTTAGGATTCTTATGTTCAAGAAGATGAGAAGAAGCTCCATAGAGCAGGTTCCTTCCTGAGCAGGACAGTTTGGAGGACAAGGCACATTCCCCTAGAGACTGGAATGTGGAGTATAGAAGTGTGGGCTATGGAGTCACCCTAGCCTCAGGTCATCCAGTGTATGAGGCAATGGAGTCGTTTCTGTGGGCAACAGTACTTCAAGGTGGGGTAGGGACTGGCTCTGAGCCCTGGGCCTCTCTTCTCTTACCTTTAACTGTTTAGCTGTTACTCATTCCAGCCCCCAGCCCTGACAGGGGCTTGCCTATCTGCACCACCCTCGCCTCTTTCCTTTCTAGAACTCAAAGGAAAACTACAGACTGCAGTTTGAAAACTTCCCCACTTTCTACCAATACCCAGCCTTGGGAAAATCTGATGGACGATACCCACGCTGAAGAGACGTGATGGTACGAGGCAGGGCCAGACACATGGGAAAGCCAGGCAGAGGGAAATTCATGAGGCTCAAAGCATCGGCTCCAGGTCACAGGGAAAGAGGTTCTACAAGACTGAGTTCCAGAGACAGGCTTGCCACAGGTCGTGGTGGCCATGCCTGGAGTGCCAGGGCAGGAGACAGGCCTGTCAAGGGGACAGACACTGGGACCCAAGTTGGTTGTTTGCCTCCAGGTAGGAGAGGGCAAAAGATGAGGCAAAGTTGAGGGATGTGTGAACCAGATAAAGGGTGTGACTGCCCTTAAGTCACCAGCTCGGCTAGGTGGACAGAAGCCCAGGGAACAGCTGGTAACCTGGCCAGGCTGAGGAACTTGGGCCTCATGGGGACAATGAAGCGCTTTAGAAAGCCTGTAGCACGCAGGGTTGTCCAGGAAAGTTGTCAAACATCCCCTCCTTCCCTCTCCCCTCCTCCTCTCTCTTTCCCTCCTTCCCTCCATCCTTTCTTCTTTCTCCCGAACCTTCTTCTCCTCCTTCCCACCGCAGCCTCAGCGCTGTGAACTGACCCCTCATCCCTACAGGAGCACTTCCTTTCTGGACCCAACAAAAGACAGAAGAAGAAAACAAGCTCAGATCCTTCTGAACAGGGGAGAGCCACCCTCTGGCAAGCCCAATCCTTTGACTTGCACTCCCAACCTTAAATATACCCTTTGAAGACTTACAGCCAAGACCTTAAACATAGTCTTTGAAGTCCCTTACCCATTGAAGTTGCCTTTCTTTCATGGTTATAAAAGAACACGGGGCTTTTCTTGGCAGCAGGAAAATCCCACATGCAACTTGCAGCATTCATGGAGCAAGAACTGTTAGGCAGAGGACGAGAGGACTATGCTCTGTCCTTTCTCGATGGTGACATCTGGGTGGCGGGCAGTGTGGCCCAGAGGTTAAGGCGCTCTCTGGAAGGAGGCACTCCGTGGTGAGCCAGTTGGATGACTTGAACCAGGTCACCAAACCTCTTGAAACTTTCATTTTTCTCACTCCGGAAGTGGAGAGGGCAACACCCGCCCTCCCTCTGGCACATCGCCTCCATTCCTTGCTCCTGGGTTTCCGTGTGTGCCAACAAGGGGACCAGGCTAATTGATGTCCAGTTGCTTTTTCTCCCCCATCGAGGAGTTCCAGTTCCCCACTGCAACAGATGGATGTCTAGGAAGGCAATTAGCACTGGAAATCAAACCACGCGTAGGAGGATGGGGAGCTGAGGGTGTAACTCAGTCGGTCAGTTGCTTGTCTAACAGGAAGCCCTGGAATCAGCTTCCAGGACACTCAAACCAAGCGTGGCGGCACATCTTAGCATAGAGGGGCATGATAGCAAGGCTACTCTCAGCTACATATTGAGTTTGAAGCCAGCCTGGGCTATCTGAGAATCAGCCTAGGGAGGATGGGAGGGAGGAAGAAGAGGAAGAAGAAGGGAGAAA